CCCCATGCATCCATCTCCCCATCCATCCATCTCCCCAACCATCCATCTCCCCATGCATCCATCTCCCCATCCATCCATCTCCCCATCCAACCATCTTCCCATCCATCCATCTCCCCATCCAACCAACCATCCAACCACTTTACCCTTCCTTCCTTCCATCCATCCGCCACCCATCTGTCCATCCATCTCCCCATCCAACCATCCATCCACCTACCCATTTATTCTTTCTTTCCTTCCTTCCTTCCTTTCTTCCACCATCCGTCTATCCATCCAACCATCCATCCACCTACGTATCTCCATAGCCCTTTGCAGGACCTAGCACAAGCAGGCTTCTAGTGAATACCCACCACATTTTATTTGCACTTCCTATGAGTAAGCCACTATTCTAAGGGCTTTAAATGTGGACTGAATTGTACAGTGTTTTTCCTCTAAAAAGACTGACAGGGGTGCGTGGGCGGCTTAGTCAGTTGAGCATCCAACTACTGATTTCAGCTCAGGTCATGATCTCAGGGTTGTGGGATCGAGCCCTGTCAGTCTCTGCACTCAGTGTGGAGTCTGCTTGAGATTCTCTCTCTCCCTCTGCCCCCATACTGCCTCTCCCTCTCTCTCTCAAATAAATAGAATCTTAGAAAAAAAATAAAATAAAAGAGCAGACTATTTTATGCTACTCAAGAAACTAAAGGAAAAAAACACAGGCTCTTTTAAATGAATGTTGCTTAAACCATTGCAATTAAGGGACTAAGCGTGAGAGGTATTCTCAGACTGTTCTGAGTGGGTCTGAACTCTTCTGGAGTGGGTTCCCTGAGTGTCTTTTGCATTAATGTTTCTGTAATGCTTTCCTGCTACCAAAGAAAAAAAATTATTTCCCCTTCCTCTGCCGTCACCTAAAGGCCACATTTTATTTTAAGTGTTCTGTCATAGCTCCAGGAATTGCGTGCATTTTTCAAAAAAAAAAAAAACCATTTAAAAATATTGATAGAGAATCTCAATGCAGAACGATTTATTTAGTGATCCGTTAACACTGAAAAATGTTGGGGGAAGGAGAGTCATAGCAAGAGAATTTCCTCCTGAGCTAACAGAAGAAAATGTTCTCGTTTTTATTTTGCTTAATTTTTCCTTGCCAAAATTAGCGCATTCGGCATTTTGGCCGTCGCTTGTAATTCACCGGGCAATCTGTCTACACTAACATTTCCATCGTGGTCCTGAGTGGGTAAGGAAGGCCGGCCAGCTGTTGACGCGTCCACTCTGTCTCCGCCGCGGATTGCTTTTTCATTTGTATTATGCTGTTAAATATCTCAATAAATCAATGATGGAGAAAAGTATCTCTACAAATTAGGGGGAAAATAATATTACAGAACTATTAGCTATAATGAGGTTTGTGCAACTGATTTTCCACGCACTGGGATAATCCCCAGCGCCGGATTCCCATCTCAACCAACACGTGGGAGGCGTGCACGCCTTTGCACAGACTACAGGCTGCTCTGGGGATCCGACTCAGCAAGCCTCTGGACCCCAGGTGAGGCTGCCCTGTGCCAGGACGCTTAGGGCACCCCAGCCTGGCTTTCCCTCCCCATTTGGACAGCTCCTCCATCACGCTCCTGGGAAACTCAGGATGGGCCAGAAGAGAAGAGCAGAAGTGTCTTCCAAAGCCACTTCCCTGACTGCCGGTTGCCTGGTGCAGAGTCCCCAGCTGGCAAAGGGCTCTAAACGTCCTGTCTGACCTTCAGGAGGACACCTCCTGATGTCTGTGGGAGGGGGGGTCCAGGGCGGGGAGTGAGCCCAAATCACGCTTGTGTGTGGGGCCAGTCCTCCCTCCCCATTCCTGGACGCCTGAGGGAGCACCTGCCTGGACTCTCGCTACCACCCCCGCCCCCCCGCAGGGTAAGTGGGGGGGAC